CACATTATAAGAGACGACGACCAAGAGAAAAGCTGTTCTTTTTCCTTCGCCGTCGTCTCTTATGGTGTGTGGTCTGCACTCGATTTTCTTCTTGCCTTTTAGAAATAGAGTATATGTCCACCGCGTTGTCGTCATTGTGTTAAGACGCATTCTTTCCATGCAATCCCTTGTTCCCGTCCAATTCCACCTACCCTGACCGTCCACAGAGTGTGGTTTTTGTGGTTTTCTTAAGACTGTTTCACTCCAGAGACTGAATCTTCCTGTGTAATTTCCACTACCCATTATTTTTACAAGTGGCATATTCGTATTGGAAAGAATGCAAGAACTTCCCGGGGATGATCCCTTCAATCGTGTGGTATGCCTTTGCCACGGCTTCCTTCTCACATGGATTGAACGTTGTCGTCTGTTTCACCTTCTCATGTGTTTCTTAGCCTTGTTAAGGCCACATTGCTTAATAAGACCTGATAAAGAGTTTTCTGTGCAACTTCACAAACGCAATCACTTCAGGTTATCCAGCGGGAACGAATGGAGCACCGAATTTGGTTACACCCCTAGTGGATTCCAACTGGAAAGATCCTCATGGAGTAGATGGCTATGCGTATTACATCGATCAACCAACGACGCTACTACCGTACACATACCACGTCAAGGCGTGGAGCACTTACCAGAACGAGTACTTTTTTCTCACATGTTTTGACAGTAACTGTTCGCTGGCCTCAAATGCAAAACTAAGGCTGAAAGCGAGAGAAACCCTTGCAAGATTTCGCTAATCGGGCAGCAACGTTAGAAAGTCGTGCAGTGCAAATGTGGTGAAGAAAAACTACAGGGGTACCCCCAGGAGGCAAGAAGACAGAGTCGGCGGACGAGTTGCAGCGCGTGGTGTGCGATGTAGGACGTGCAGTGGGACACTCTATTCAACTTGACGCGAGATCCCTATAATACGCGCGCGACTCGTCCGCTGACGTTCCTTCTTGCCGCTCGACGGGCCTCTTGGGGTTACCCAACTATGTATAGGGACCAGGCGGGTACTTTGATAGAGGTTAGAGGCATGCCTCGGAATAAACGGGTGTGGCCATTGCCCAGGGATATGAAACTGTTGGAGAAACGGGTCGGAGTAAAGAAGAAAGGAAATGAATTGGTTGAAACCGTTCGAGATAAAGGCTTGCTCACCTTTCGTGATGCGGTTGTAATAAGGCCAATGAGAGACTGAGAACAATAGAGCAAAAGTGGAGGGAGATGAACACAACAAGCCGCGAGTCGGGTGACGAGACATTTGCAATCTGCTGCAAGGTACCTTTTCAAGCATGAGTCCCCCTCGGAAAGTGATTTCATGCACATTCGCAATTGACCCTAGTATTCCTTTAAGATTCATCCTCATACACTGCAAGGGTATGTTCTCAACCCACTTCTGCTTGGGTTGGCCTTCAATCGAACCATGTAGCACCTGTGTCGAATTCCATTAACGCTTGAAGACACCGAATATTTGCAAAAGATTGGAGGGGGGGGGCGCTCCGCCGGGCGCGTGAGGTCGGGGTTTGGGTGAGATGGTGTATGTGGGGTAGCGGGTGCGTTGTAGGTCAATTAACTACGCTTCTATTTATGTCAAGAGGTCCTGTTTCCTTTATAGCGATCACGAAACATTCAGTAAAAGTCAGAATATAATTGATGTATTCGTTGTAATGATTCTCACACCTTGAGGGAAAGAGAGAGATATTTAGTGAGTTCAAATTAACAGCGTAATTTTGAATTAGACTTATAAGTACGTCATTATTGTCACAGCTTTGGTCCCTAAACATATGTACAAGAACGGGGAAGGTCCAAGTGGATAGGACGAGAGGAAGAGCGGGCTTATAAAATGTGTGTTGATACTTGCAATCTTTGGGATTTGCGGCCAAGGAACAAGCTAACCAGGACAAATTGAAATTTGTAAGCAGAGTAGAATGAACCATTGAGATGTGCACAGTCTCACCTTTGGTCCTTCATGAAAATTACCGGTCATCGTCACTCAGACAGGTCAGATTCAGACAAGCAAGTCTCGAAACGAAAAAAGAAGATAAGAGGCGACGATTACGGTAGTTTCTATAGGGGTTTAAAAGTGCAAATGCTCAATGGCACGCCATGGCGAAAAAATCAGAGAAATCTGTCAAGCAAACCTAAAACGGGGCCCCCTTGCTTGGCCATTGATATTCGCTCATGAACCGGGCAACGGCTCAAGCAGCGGACCTATGGACGCAGCATGTTTGGTGAACCGTACCAAACCATGCACCAGCCTATTTGCTCTATTTGCGTCCCAGCTGGCAACAAAGATCGTGAAATTCACTATTTAGACTAGTGGGTAAAGCGCTCAAAGGCGTGATGTCTTTCAAGTACTGCTCAACAACCAGCTCACCTTTCGTCAAGAGAGCCCCTAGCTCGCTTCCCAAGCAGGCGAGCTACTGCTTCGTGTGACACATACACTTCCCTGATGCGCTCCTTCTTTATCGTGATCATCTCTTTTAAGACTTTAATAAAAACCATTTCGAAGCAAGCAGTTCAATATTTAGGTTACTGCATGGCATAATTGACACAATGAATGCGTTCGCCGCAACACAAGGAGTTACTCTAGACCAGAGGCAACTACAGAATGATGCTGCTCAAATCGTTAGCTTTGATCATCTCCTCGCGATGACGTACAGGTCTGAGCATCGGTACCATTTTGTGTCTGAAAAATGCTACAGTAGTCTTGCGATTTCAGTACCGATGACACTACTCGTAGACAGTTTGATCGCAGCTACAATCCAATGACCGCTCGTCAGCTGATGAGCACTTATCCCCAAATTAGCTGGCACACGTTTCTAGGAGAAGTATGTTTGCCCTTGTCAGTCGTAGGTGGCCTACAGAACTATTATAATGTTGAGCGTCTTCAGGCCGTTGGACCCGCTCTACACATCATGCAGCGAACATTCAGTGATCCGGACATACAAGTATATTGTAATGGAACCGGAGAAACTACAGGCGCTCAATGATATGCTTGCAAATCAAACCAGTAAACTAGCACTACTATCGATTTCCTTCGATTTTTGTTAGAATTTTGTCTGAGCTTGGATCCCAAATTTCCAGTCGATGCCCGCACTATCGTCAACTATGCCTATTATCATGTGGTGGACTCCCTTGCTGATTTCCTTCCGCAGAAAAGTGCCACGGTAAGTAAATGGATTCACGAAAAGTTAAGCTAGTTAGGTAAAGGCATGCCACAGGATCACAATAGTGTAGCCCTTGCACACGAATGCCAATGGTGCGAGCCACGGATTACAATAGTAGCCCATTGCCACACGAATGCGAATGGGTTGCGAATGGACCGGCAGCCAAAGGAAAAAAAGGAAAAAACAATCGTGGAAAACGCTTAGGTTAAGTCTCAGTCCTTCCTTATATGGGTATGCTAAGGGAATGAGCGACTAAGCGCGGAGAGGAGAGTATGAGCGCGAAGAGCGCAACAGAGACGAGAGCGCCAGGACAACAGCCTGATAATAGAGAAAAAATCGCAGCTTCACCAGCTTACCCGGCAGGGCCCAAAGCCTCTTGTCGATTGGTTTTTCGTGCACGGCAACGGAAACATCTGTGTTTATCATTTTTAGAGCTATAGATAGATACCGAACGGAAACGTCACACGGACGCGCTGCCTGGTGTACCTGCCTAAGATTCCTCCGTTTAAGAGCGTTTTGGCACCCGAACATTAACTTAGTTTCTCCTTCGGAGGCATTCATGACGCCTACTCCCAAACAATGCGGGCCAATATCTTGGACCCCTGGGGCGTGAATCTTAAATAATCTTCTACTATTACTTTTCTGGACGCTCTTCTCGGTTGAATAGCATTACACGTGCGAAGCTCTTACATCCTGAACAATTTCTGTGTAAATTTATGATCTTGGCCTAAAAACAGCTGAAAACCCTGGAAGATATTATCAAAAGCAGGGAACCTACAATCTAATGGCTTCATGGGGGTGCACGAATATCCTATTCTGGAAAACAGAATAAGACTCAAAGTTGATTGTTTTTCGAGCTGTTAAATTCGTTTCTAATTTTTCTGCGGGAAATCCGTCATTTTGTTCTATCGATTGTATGGGAAGTTCTCTTTCTTTCTAAGTTATTAACAACAATAACGTTCAATCGATCACAATATGAAAAACTCAGTAGTTTTGACAGTGGTCGAGCTCAAGGAATTGATCTACCTTTAGTGGCCAAAGTTAACTCCGTATAAAACCCTTTGAAGATTCTGATCCAACAAGGCTTGAGCTGTAGTAAGTCATACTTTGCGCCCAGTTTTGCCTTTGCTTTCTTTGTGTCATTCGACCTCTGTTTATGACCATGATCTTGTATGTACTGAAGGGTGTAAAATTACGGAAGAAATGGAAACTTGGCAATATTGTTTAGGTGAAGGCATTCATTCATTCAGGTAGTTATTTTAGAGATTCCGCGCGTAGCATGCGTCGTTTCGGAGACAGCGTCACGATTGAAGACGTCGTCGGTATCGCAGCAGGTTACGCATTGCGATTATTTTTCGAAATTTTTACTTCAGTCTAATACAATTACATAACCGCTAAATTTGATTAACCAGGCTTGGGAGTCGCCTTCAATGTTTTTCGAGGCCGCCTCATTCATTTCGCCTTGACATTTTCTCAAAAGCAGCGCGTCATATTTCAGTTGGGCTGCCGTTCCTCTATTTAAGTTGGCCAGATCTTTGTCGGTCTTATTTGTGTTCTGCAGTGGTCAAGTCAGAAGCACATCATCGGGTAAAATGGAGAGTCCAGTTCCGTTGTGCTCGCAGTTTTTATGGCCAACCTCGCGGTGGTTTTCTGTAATGCCAGAAATGCCAGGCAGAATCAGACTAGTCGCAAGCTTTTTGGCCTGTTCATGGTACACAATTGCTGACAGGCTAATCCGTGGTTAACTTTTCGGATTGCTACAGCCTAACTAATTCCGAAGCAAGGGTTGGTCAGCTTAGATTATCGTTTTCTAGAACCAAAACAAGCACTAGACGAAACTTTGTCACGATAGGGGCTGGTCTTGCATATTTACAAACCAGCAAGGCTACCACCATCCACGGCTCTCTGGGCTCCTTCAAACGATCAGTGGGTAAAAATATACTACAAGCATAGTTGTCACTTATCGATTCATTGAGGTTGACCCTTATTACTGTTATTCTTTTTCTACGCTATCTATGTAGTACATAATAAAATAGAATAAGTTTAGTTGTTAATTTACAACTTATGAAGAATGAAATCAATTGTTTAGTATTGGGTTGGTCCACAAGTCTTGCAATAAATTACATTTAATGCTAGAGAAGTTTCGTGGGAACTCCGAAAATTCCGCAACATGTTTGTTGACGTAGCACCCGCCTTTACAGTTTCAGCTAGCCATCCAGCTAGTTGTCTCGCTACGTGTTATTAATGTTACATCGATTTTGCGAAAAGCTCTTCGTGCCCTGAATTTTCATGAGTACTGCTTGGAATGTTCCGCAAGTCGCGCTACACCAAGATTCAACCAGAAGATGGGCAGGGTACGCTCTCTGAAATTACGGTGCACCGGCGCTTCACTCTGCTCAGCCTTGACTTTTTTATTTGGAGATGATCCACACTCCAACCACCCCGTGACTGGCAATCACGATTCTCTATCTGACGCTGTCGAAAAAGGATCTGGATGGACTATCGATCGTTTGTCAGTGCAATTCTGATGCGACAGGGTGGCAGCTCTGAAGCGTCTCCAAAACTTGTAAAGAACCGAAAATATAGAGTTTGGATCCAGTTTGCCTCGAGCCCGAATTAGCACCAAACACGATCTGATATCATCATGTCCGAGACGACTTACTATGGATTCTTTGATTGACCATCCATCACATTTGCTAGAGATGAGGAGATGGTACAATGTGCTAACAAATAAACAAGCGACGATAGTCCAGCTCGAACGCTTATTTGGTGGAACGCGAGAGGTTGGCTCTGATATACCCCACTTGTAGATCGTAGAAGTTGAGTGTTTGGCTGCGTAGTAAATATAAAAATTTTGTATTTGTGTGTTCTCAAGTTCTTATGTAATTTTTTATTGAGTATTTTTTTTTTTTTTCGATTTTTTATTTATTTTTAAATTTTTAATTTTTTTTTTTTTTTTTTGTTTTTTATTTTTAGTATAATTATTTTTTTTTTATTTTTTATAGTTTTTTTTTAATTTTATTTTTTATTTATAGCTTTATTATTTTTTTTTTTAGGTTTTTTTTTTTTTATTTTTTTTTTTGGCGGTGGTTTGTATTTATTATTATTGTTTTTTAAAATTTTTAGTTACATAGTTTTTTTTTTTTGTTTTTTATTTATTTTTTTTTTATTTTTTATTGTTTTTTCTATGTTTAACAATCTTTATTTTTATAAACCCAATTTTATTTGTTATTTTATTATTTTTTATTTAATTTTTATATTTTTTTTCTAAATTTACTTTTAATTTATTTTATTATTTATTTAATTTTTTTTTTTTTTTTTGTTTTTTTTTTTTGTTATTTTTTTTTTTCTTTTATTTTTTTAATTATTATTAGTTTTATTTTATTTTTTTTAATTGTCGTTTTATTTTTTTTTTTTTTTTTTTTCTTGTTCCTTTTTTAACCTTTTTACCCTGTTTAAACATATATTTTTTTTTTTGTTTTTTTTACCTTTTTTTTTTTTGTTTAACCCTTTGTTTACTTTTTTTGATCTACACATTTAGTTTTTCCTGTGTATTTCTTCTGTTTAGTAAAATCTCTTTAATTTTTATTAGATTGTATTATTCCAATGTCTTTATTCGATTCTCTGTTTTATTATCTAAGTTAAATTTACTATTCTATCTTTAATATCATCTTGTTCGTTGAAGTCCTTTTAGTTATAATGTTATAATGTCTTTGTCTAAAATAATAGTGTAATGTCAGATGTGTTTTGTTTTGTTTTCTCTTTATCTTGTTGATGTTTTATTTTGTCTGCCGAATCTCTCATCTGTAGCGTCTTCTCGCTCATATCTCCTCTCCGCGCTCGAGTCTCTATTGGCGCCGCGATAACGGCAAAGTTTTGCGCTGTGCTAGGGCAAGAAGACTGAGCGCGGAGAGGGATATGAGGCGAGAGAGCGCTAACAGATGAGAGATCGCAGACAATACGCCCGATAAGAGACGACAAACTCTGGCAGCTTGGCAGCTTACTTTACAAGGCCCAAGCCCGTCTTGTTTGTTTGGTTTTCCTGCACGGGATCCGCCACATGCCGATTGTCCTCTCCAGTTCCGACTAACAGACCGAAGGGAAATAATTAGACATGACCTCTGCCCGAAAATCACTGAAAAGTAAGGAAGCTGGCTAATCAGGGACAAAGATGAAGAGGTTTTTCTCCATCGCACACAGAAGCATACATAACAGCCAGGAGGCTTTTGGCCCCGAATAGGGGAACGCTGACCAGTAGCTTTCACAAAGTTTTTTTTGTTAATTTTTTTGTATTTTCTTAAAGGGACAATGGTGCATTTAACCATTTCACACCAATCAACCAACATACATTTGCGCTATTGCTCCAGCAACTCAGCGTCCCAGTTGCCAAATCTGATGACCGATAGCCGAAGCACTGAGCCTACATATGTGTAAGTTTAATGTCAATCAAGCCGTGTCATCCATGTGATTGGCACGCTTTCGCCTTGGCTCTTATGGCTAGATCAGGCTTAAGCCGAGCCGGGTAAATTCGCAACAATAATCATTACGGGCGTATGCTGGCGATTAGCAGGGAAGATTCTGGCCGGAATTGAGCAGTTTGCTCCAAGTCTAAACTCGTTCAAGACGCAGCCCTCGCTTACCTTTAGGCAAAGATAAGAGTTGATGCAATAGTTCCCATTAGAAGGTGAGCCAAGTGGTGCAGTGGCAAGTGGCACGCTACCACGCGCCGCGGTGCCGGAATCGAATCGGGTCCGCATTCGAGCCAAGAATCGCTTCCAATCATTCGGGGTCCCGTCATTGGTGCGCACACTCGTGCTGGGTGG